AGCGCGCGTGGTCTCGCTGAGAGATGCACAGCCACAGGGGCCACGCAGCACGACAAACCCCTCTGCTCTCTTGTTCAATGCACACAACAGTCAACAACAGCCGAAGAGACCAGCCGTCGGACACCTCCCACCCGCCGCCCGCGCGTGAGCGCAAACTCTGCCCCTCTGCACTGCATCACTCACGGCCCCACGCAACCCTACAGCTCCCCCTCGCCGGCGCAGCAGCCCGTGCAGTTGCAGCCGAGCAGCTCGCTGCTGCCGGCGCAGGAGAAGAGGCCCTCGAAAGCGGCGCACGTCGCCGCCGGGTTGAGCGGCGTGGCGCACGGGCGGCCGCACTCGGGCGGGGGTGCGAGGTCGACGTCGAGTCGCAGCGTCACCGACCGTTCCGTTGCGCCGGCGGTGCTGCCCCCCTGCTGGCAGCCCTCCCACGCCGGCGCAGCGCACCTGCAGGAGGCAAGGCAAGGTGAGCTTCTCCACACACACGAGGTGGTGGGGCAAGGGGGGGCAACCCTCGCGTCTCCACGTCTGACGACAGGAGCCCCACGGCATTCAAAGTGCAAGGCCCAGTGCGCGTGGGTGAGCGGTGTGTGTGTGTGTGTGTGTGTGTGTGTGTGTGTGTGTGTGTGTGTGTGTGTGTGTGTGTGTGTGTGTGTGTGTGTGTGTGTGTGTGTGTGTGTGTGTGTGTGTGTGTGTGTGTGTGTCACGTCACTGCATCCTCCGCCGGTTCCTCCCGTCGCCTCTTCTTTGTTCGAATGTTTTTCAATCCATCCTTCACGAAGCCCTCCCATGTAGCTAGCGTTCTTGGCGAATGTCTCGAAATGGCAGCCTCACATCCACAGGGCCGGGGAAGGCGGTGTGTGCGGACATATGAGAGAGATTTTTGAAAACCTCAAGCTCAACAACGAACAAGAAATCACGACTCTCACAGCGAACTATCGTACGTGTCTATCAATGCCCTATATCTCCCTACGCCCCACGGCCGATGAAGAAGGAGTCGGCCACCCGCTCGCACCTCTCCTTCTCGCCGCCCTCCCACTTGGTCGCGCCCCCCGACGCCACCAGCAGGTAAGCGATCCCATCGACCTCGTACGCGTCCACAAAGGCGAACCGGTCGGTGGCACGCTGATTTGCGGGCGTGATCACAGTGTACTTGAGCGCCAGCCGCCGCCGCGCCTCCGCCGCGCCCGCCGGTGCCTCAAGCTCCTTGGCCGAGGTCACCTTGTACGCGTCGATCTCGACGCCCTCCCGCGCGATCTGCCCGTCGGGACTGAAGATTGCCTCGCCAAACCACTTTTTGGGCGTCTCCGCCAGCGAGGTCCCTGGCAGCGAGACGCGCAGCACGTAGATCTTGAGGCCCGAGGAGCCGTCAACAAACTGAATTCCGCCTAGCGAGCGGCCGATCTGAAGCAGCTGCTGAGGAAAGTCGAAGCGCACCGGAAGAGAGAGCGCCTTGCTGCCCTTCGGCGTGCTGAGCTGATCCTCGTACCTCGAGTATTGGCCCAGCGGCGGCAGCGGCGAGATGTTGCCAGAGACAGAGAAGCGCTGAGCAAAGGTTGCTGGCTCTGCCGCTAGCGACGGCGCTACCCGTCCGGCCACCGCTGCCGCTGTGGTGACGGACAGCATGGCCCGGCGGTTGAGTAAGCCCGGGCTGCGGGTGGCGGCGGCGGCGACGAGAAGGATTGGCGAGAGCAGCATGCGATGATCGCTGGCAAAAGAATTTTACGAACTCGTCGTACAACACTGGATAACACTCGGCGTACCGGCGAGCACCAATACGGACCTTCAAGCATATATATATGATCGCTGGCAAAAGAATTCTTGAGAATGGACAGAGCTGCGGGGACACACAATTCCAGAAATGGTGGTGTCCCCGCTCCTCGCTCGCCCGGGCGGAGGGCATGGCCGCGGAGGAGGCGAGAGCATACACATACATACATACACACACGTGTACTTTTAGCTTACTGGGAGAAAAGAGAGAGGGGGTTGTGTTCTCTAGGCCCCTAAGGGCCCTACGCGCGGCGTGAGAGTGTATGCTCTTGTATATACACACTAGCAGACCTTGCGCGCACGCGCGCCAAATTTGTTTTTCTGTCTGCAACAACAGCCCGAGGGGTGAAATGTCTTTGTTGTCTCTGTAACGAAGGGCCCGCCGCTCCGCCTACGCCGGCGATGACCCTCTCGGCAGAGCGACATCGCGACACGCGAGCACCGGTGACGGCAGCACCAAGTGGACGTCGATCGAGGGGGACTCGCGAAGGCGTGAGCGAGGAGGCGTCGAGGCTGAGCGGGTCCCCCCCTCTTCAATGGTCCGCGGCGGGCGGCGGCGCACCGGGGTAGTCGCGCCCGTAGTCCGCTAGATTGCAGACTGTCGCGGACCGTCAGAACTGTGCTAGTGCCGCCTGTGTATATGGGCACCTGAGATTGAGGGCCAGACCGCGTCCGCACGCGCGCACGTGGCGCAGTTGCGCGAGTTCGTTCGTTCAGCGCGGCTCGGTGGATGCTGCGCGCCGAACGAACGAATTCCTGGCGATGGTTTTCTTTTTTCCTAAGTTCGAACGGAGTTCACGAACGTTCGTTCGTTTTCGCAGTTCGCGCCTTCCACAGCCGGCGCGGTCCGTTCAGTTTCGAGGTTCGGGCTGGGCCCCGCCGGCTGCGTTCGTTCGAGTTCGGAGTTCGCGAAATCCGCGCGAACTCGAAGGGCTGCCGCAACCCCTTAGGCGCCGTCGAAGAGACCGGCCCACCTGGCCGGGGTTAGGCTGGAGAGCTTGTTAGGCTGGAGCACAGAGCTGGTTGGGCTGGAGCACAGAGCTGGTTAGGCTGCTGGTTAGGCTGGAGCACAGAGCTGGTTGGGCTGGAGCACAGAGCTGGTTGGGCTGCTGGTTGGGATGGAGCACAGAGCTGGTTAGGCTGGAGCACAGAGCTGGTTAGGCTGAGAGCTGCTTAGGCTGGAGCTCGGGCGGTGCGGCGGCCGGCGAGGGCAGCGCAAGCAGGCGGGAGGTGGCCGCGGGGCGTCGAGTGGCGCGATAGGAGGGTAGGCGGCCTTGGGAGTTTCAATGGTTTATGAGGGCCCAGTATTGAGCACTTGAGCACTGGATAGGGCCGATTCCGCGTGGTACGGGACCCCTCGATCGTCTCGCCCTCCCTCACTGGTATGTTCATTGGGGGGGGTCATAACAAACACGGTACAGGATCGAGGTGCACGCTGCCGAAGCAGTGTCGTCCCCCCTCTCCCCGACGGCGATGGCGGTGTGACCGATCGAGCTACAAGAGGAGCTTGTTCAGCAGGATCCGGGATAGTCTGACGCACTGCCTCACTGGGTCTGAGATCATCGAGACGCTTCCCATCACCGTCTCGGATTTGTGTGGGATCGAACCACTCCGGGATGGGCAAGCCCATCGTTTTCATTGAGAGCCGTGCCTTCCTATCACCTGTGAGAGACAGTGGAGAGGGTGTGCACCACACCAGCCGGGGCGGGCGGTGAGGGGGGGGGGGGGGGGCTCATCCATTCCGGCTCAGCATACAAAGCAACTTCAAGACATTATAAACCCACAGGAGACAAAG